CCTCACAGGAAGATGTTGGTGTTTCTTCGCATGATGATGTAGGGGGATGTTTTCTATCAATATTTCCTTCAACTGAATTACTCACTACTAACAGAATAGGTCCTTGTGTTTGGCTAGGTCCCACATCTTGGATACCTCCCGTAATGCTGTCTTCAGATGCTGCAGTAGCGAAAGATGTAGCACTTAGTAAAATCACGACGTTTTGGTACTTCATGGTGATATGTAATAGCTTCTGTTGGGATGATTTAAAATGGATCTTAACCCAAATTTATACTTCGGATTCTAATTTCTTCCATTTATAGGAAACACTGTATAGGCTTATTATTTTCAAACCCTATAGTGAGCTTTTCTTTGATAATGTTAAAAATAACCTGAAAATTACCCCAGGATATGAGATTATTGGTATTAATAGTATATTATCATGTATTAGCTTCATACTATCAGTAACTGCAAAAATTTCGAAAATATTGCGACCAATGCTCGTTCGGGAAAATATTACCCCATACTAGCCAAACTAGTATACAAAGGGTCCCCAAGAAAGTTAGCATACGAGATTTATTTTTTAATCAGTAAGCTATAATCTCTACTAATGAACTAAACATGTAAATTAGTCCGTTCTCACTTAGAGTTTAGTTTGTATCTTAGTCATTCGTAAATTTATTTAGGTATTTCTAAATTTAGTCTGCGAACGTTTTTTAGGTTTAATTAAAATTTCATCTGCAATGAATGACAAAATTCTATGCCTAACTATGGTGATCTCCATTACTATATATTTACTTTCCATCATAAAAATGCAAATAAATTTCTTATTGTATAGAATGCTTTACGTTTTGATACTACAAGTTGAAATAAGATTAGACGCAGTGTATTATTTTGTTCAAATTCAAAATTGTGTTATATTGAAAAGCTAGTTACCTAAATATTTCTATTATTAAAACGGCTTTGTAGTTTTAAACTTCACTTTTCCAATATTAATATCTATTTGATATATCAATTTAATGTAATCTGATCTCAGGTCATCATTATCGTATAATTCTAAGTATAGTCTTTCATTGCTAACTTACTTTTAGAGGACTATAGATTATAACAAGCTTTCAAAAGACAACTAAATATTTAATTATTTTCTAAGCTATTTGAAAACTTCAAAAAATGAACGATCCATAAAGTTTTAAGATGCTAGAACAACAATAATTTCAATAAGAAGTAGCTAGTCTTTATTGATATCAGATCGACAGAATTACAATACTAATCAGTTCATAGCTTTCGTGTACATATAAATATATCATATTTAAGTTTAAGAAGACGTCTTAAAGATAATCATTGTTTCTAATTATGCCATTTCCATTTGTTAAGTTTGCCTCATAAATGGGACGAAAAGAATTATTAGAATCACGGATAACAATTTCCATTAATATTCATTCAAGAGTACCTACCCTCCATAACTCTAGACCCATTATTTTGAATTTTCCTATTTTTGTATCAGCATTAGTGCTATTTAATATTTCATTCCCAAAAGTATCACATGAATAGCTGACCCCGTTATATAGCGACTTATCTATCCATAAACCATTTTGACCCTTAGAAGATCCTATGGCTATGAAGTCATGATTTGAGTATATTATATTGTCATTGATACCAGTATACATGAATGCCTTGAACCTTATCTGTGGAGTAGGTGAATGGTGTGATATGTCTTCTTCGCTATTCGAATTGGAAGGCGAAGGAGTGAAAAGTTCAGACTTCCACAAAAAACATTCTCCATTACCATAATATCGCTTTTGATCCATTGGCCTTAAGTGCTCATTCACAAAACACCCGAATTTCGAATTGTTCTCGTCCTTTATTATTAAAACATAACCTTGGGGTCTTCTCCTTTCACGCATTGAATTGACACTACCTGACATCATTGAGCTGATAATGGAATCACCATATCCAACTTCAGGTTTATTCTTGCGAAGCTGCAGCAACTGGTAATCAGGGTTACTTTTCTGATAAAGTGTATTGAGTGATACCCCGTGTTGTTCTAGAGAATACACCAAATCCCACTCATCAAATAGCTGTAGCCTTCCTGGAAGTAAATTTCTGATGTTGTTGGCTAATTCATCATCCAATAATCTGCGTTTTGTAGACGCCTTATATCCTTTTAAGCTCAATTGTGATAATGGTGGTAATGAGCTCTCCCTTCCTTCCTTGCTTTTGGTATTCTCATCAATAGCGTTCTTTTTCTTATTTGATTCAGAATACTCAATAGATGCTGGTGATGTCTGTCTTCTCATAATCCTATCGAGAAATGTAGGTCTTCTATTAATGGGAGGATGGACTTCTGGTTCATTAGGTGGGGTATCCACAAGTGATGAGCTACTTGTATTTGTCTTATCTGATACCATTCTTTTTTTAATACGATAGATATGTCTTGGTATTAAACACAATAAATATCTATCTCGTTTTAAATGACAATTGATCTTTGTTACGCTATATATGATAATAGAGACTATCTTTTAGTTGAAGAATCGATTTAAAGAAGACGCTTTCATTTGAGAATGCGCACGCTCATATACACATGTTGCACCACTACTACCACTGCTCTAGTAGCCATTACTGCTTATAAAAACGTATAAGACCCGTGAGAAATTCGACTCCTACTTTAACGCTGTCAATAAACTGAACTTCAGGAAAACTTTCGTTTAATTTTTCATCTAATCCTGCCATGCCAGCACACCCTAATAACACACAATTGATGTTATCGTGAGCGTATTCTTTATTCAAGATATCTTTAACTCTAGTAGAAATCTTAGAATATTCCTCTGGGTCACTTAGACTAAGAACACTAACGTCAAGCCCCTTCGTCTTTTGAAATTTCTTAGTTGGAAACTCGCTAGCCCCAACGAAGTCTGTGATTGCTTTATCTAACAATGGCTCCCATTCATTCACACTTGTTAATATGAACAGCCTACTTACAGAGGGGTTCAGCAAAGCGTAGAGTAGAGTGGCTTGCATTATTCCTAGAATTGGCTTATGTGTGTGCTTCCCAAGCGAGTGGATCAAAGGATGGTCCGAATAACAGCAAACTAAAAATCCATCATGTTTATCAATAGTGCCTTTTTCTAGTAAATCTGGGAGTACTACCTTCTCGGATAATATTGACGTTTCGTTTCCATTGATCTCTTTGGGGGCTTCGGGAGGTGCAGTATAAAATTCAAATTGAACTTGCGGAGGTTTAATAAGGATGTCCTTTAAATTATTTGTGACACCAACTGATGAATTGGGATTAATTATGAGGATTGAGTGAACCATTTGAGACGTAGTCTTGAAATTGTGAACAGACCTATAATATTAATGAAAACCTTTGAAATATTAAACTATACTCTAGAGGAAGTATTTATATGCGCGATTTTAATGTTATCATCAAAAAGATAGATCAACCGCTTTAGACGCTGAATAAAAGCGAATAGAACATGTCATTCGTTGGGGTTATAGACTCAGAAAAGAACAAGGTTATATGGTCTAAGGCTATTCTGTCATTGGCGGCAATATCTGATCATCTTAAATTTATTATTTCTCCCGATTCATTATCTATTTCAGCAGTGAATAATGCAAAAACATCTCATGCAGAGATTTTCTTCAAAAAATCATTCTTTTACGATTACTTTGTCGACTTTACAAACATAATACCAGAAGGATTCGATAATGGCATTGAAAGTGGTATAGATTCCGAACTTGATGATTCTAGATTGTCGTACTCGTTCGTGATTAACTCAAAGCATATGGCCATACTTTTTAAGAATCTTGACGCGGTTGATATTGACTACATATGCTTCAAAATACACTGGTCGAGGGATGCACAGATAAACATGAAATATAAATTGTTGATAGAAATAAAGACCAGAAAATTAATTATTAAAAAGTATCAAACGAGTTACCAACCTGTTTTTAAGAATCAGTTAAATGTTTCATCGGTGTACAAGCGAGAATTATACAACCAGCAACACCGAGAAAAAAGCAAAGAAGAGCCCGAACGTGATAGAATAAACTATATAATGATTGAACAAATTATACCTAAGCAATTCTTGGACATGATTCCGGCGTCTACTGAAGATTTCAAAATTGAAATCAAAAATGAAAAGTTTCTGTTAAGTGGGTATACTAAACAAGTTCAAAAAGATAGGGAATATTTAAAGCAACAAATGTCTGTAACAATTGCTTTAACTCTTGAAGACTTACTCAATACCAATATTAGTGCTGAAGCCAACAATGAGCAAGGAAGAAAATGCATAAATTTCAGATTGAGAGATTTCAGAAATTTCATGAACTTAATTACATCAATCAGCATGCCAATAAATACAGACTCCAACAATGATGAATATTTAAATCTAAACAATATGATTTCAATGTCAAATGAAGATTATTTCGAAATATTCTTCAAGAATCCTGGTGACCCTATTTTGTTTGAATTGCAAAATAATCCCCACATTTTGATACAATACGTACAGATTACCAATGATGATGAATACGACCTACCAGAGAACTCTAAAGTCAATATTAACGGAGCTAATAATCCTCAAAGCAAATTAGCCTTACAGCCACACGTAATTCACAAAGTTTTATCAGACTCTGATAATATTTCCACAGATACTAGATTCTCAAAAAGCAACAAAACCCAAAAAGCGAAAACCTCTATTCCTTTGAAAATGGGAAAATCACCGCTGAATCCCGAATATAGTCCACCCACTAATGAATTATTTGTACCAGAAACCGAAAGTCAAACTGCAGCGTTTGATTATTCCTCAAATTATGAGAACGAAGAATTGATAACATATGGTAAGAGAATGTCACAAGGCGAGACACAAACAAATAAACGACAAAAGGTGGAAGAAAGAAACGGTATCGGGATACTAAATATAGATATGCATAAATTGAATAGTATGATCGATGGCAAGGAAAATGCCCAAATGGATAAGAGAATAATAATTAACGAAGATACCGATTATGAATCGGACGAAAAACAAGAAGTAACACTAGGGCCCACACAAGGAGCCGATCGTCCAAAATCTATATTTGACTGATCTACAATGGCTGAGCTGTACGTATTTTTATTTCGTGATGTATAGTATTGAATAGTTATATAAGTTAATATAGAATATGCATTATCAGCTTCGATCCACCCTGAAGACACAGAAATGTGTAGTCTAATCTAAATCCAAAAGGACATGTATTAATACCAAAAATTAACTCATTTGCTTTCAGAGCTGGCAATTTCTGGATTTTTTTCATAATGGTTCTTGACCCATCTAAATCCTTGTGCTAATTGAGCTGCTTCATTCACAAAATGACAACCAAACAATAAGTAGTTTTGAGGTGTCACAGCCATAGAATATCTCATGAAAACCAATGAGTATATAATCAAAGAACCTGTCATTGGTCCACTAATTAAATCCGCATCTTTCTTCAAGTCCAACATGGCAGCGACAGGGATACCAAAATTGGAAACAGGTCCCCAAAAATGGGTCGTACAAACATATCTCAACGATTGTTTAGAAAATAAAAAATCTGTGAACTTCTTAAAACCTGACATTATCCTATATCTTAAACCAATAGTTTATGTCTAATTTACTATTATGTAGGTGATAAAGCGTGAACTTCTAAGTCGGTTTTTTGGTATCCGAAGATTTCAACTGGTACGGCACGTGATTATATAAGAAGCCGATATCAATACAAGTCTTTAGATTTATGCATATATAGTTAACTAGAAATACAATAATGTTTAAAATGCATCTCGATTAAAAACTGGATTTCCATCGCCATCCACATCATTTTGTTGAGAATCCTGGTTAGAAAACCCCGAAGGTTGCGTTGGATAATCAGCATCATTTATTATTCCAATAAATGGAGTCGAGCTATTTGGTATAGTTGATGGTTGCGTGATGTTCAAGGACTGCTGTGGCATATCAAGGAAACCATAGGATCCGGGCATATCTGGTTGCTGTTGTTGTTGCTGCTGATGATCTAGTCTCGAAGAGGAATTATGCTGAAATTGTTGAGACTGGGACGAAGATGATTTTGATGGGTAGGAAGAATTTCTACTCCAAACGCCATTAAAGCTTGCATCTTCCTGAGGGGTGAAACCATCGATAAGCATTTTCGAAGATACTTCGGAAGCATGCAAAGGCTGAGGTTGTCTTGGCTGGTCAGAATAATTTGAGGGGTCCGAATTTTTAGACTCAGATTCAGTATGTTCAGATTCATTCTTGAAATTAGGCATAGGTGTATCATCGTCGCTAGGAGAAGTAAGGTGGTACGGCAAATTATCAGGGTTAGTTATCCAAAATGGGTCACGTAGATTAAAACCTTGAAACTCAGATTCGGGAATGTTACCCAAGTTGATTTGCTTTTGTAATTCATCGAGATCACTTTCAAATTTCTGACGGTCAATTTCAATATTAGTGTCTTGTTTTTTGTGGATTTTATCAATATGCTCAATGTTCCTACGAATCAAATGGGTTATATTCGAAGACCAAAGCTTGTTGTGATAGCCTGTCATTTTCGCAAAGTTGGACTCAAGTTTCAATAAAGTGTCCAAGCTATCTTCTAATTTCTTCAAGAACTCGGAATAATTAATTTCATTCTTATTTGAATATTCATCATATTCTATAAAGTCCTTGAATTTGTAATGCAAAAATGTGAAGATAACTAACATACCTTGATAAGTAAAAGAATTTAAGAATGGAAAATGTACTCTCAACAATTTTCCAAAACCATCCTTTTTTAAGTACTCAAATTCTCTTTCTTTATACTTTTCACCATATTGCTTTAAGAGCGAATTTATGAAATAAATCGAACAATCCAAATACTTACAGATGGAATCATGTAACGATCTAACAACCATAACTGTATCTTGTGGATCCTTAAACTCGATAATAAACGGTTGAAATAATTTGGCTCTGTTTATATAGAAAATAATCAAATCAACTAATAAATTTGTCTTGTCAACCACAAAATCCTCGCTATCATTTTTCACATAATTGGAATCTTCTTCCATAGAATCAATATTTATATCATCAACTAAATTATCATTATCATATAGCTTATCATTAATAAACCACTTTATTAGATCAATTTCCTTTCTAAATTTAGCGTCCAATTCTAATAAATCCTTGATCGAAAAATCGTTCATGAAGTTTTCGATCAACATCATATTTGAAAGCTTGAGACATTCACTAAGTCCAATTTTGAGGGATACAAGCATTCGGCACTTTTTCAAATCCAGTTTGGAATGGCCAGAATCAGAGACTTTCAATATTTTTGAATTGACATGCAACGAAATAGGGTTTGGTCTACCTAAAACAGAACAAATTTGACCACTAATATTCTTGAAAGCAAACCAGACTTTGTAACGTGCTATATCTTCGTCTTTTTCATTCAGTTGTTTTTCATCCATTAGACCAAACTTACCCATGACATGTAATCCAATAGAATATGATATAGAGCATGTGTGAAACATCATTGACCAACATTCTTCATATCTTTGTTCAATAAAATGCCATTCTGTGCATAGTATATAGGATTGAATCGTTGCAATAGCTTCATTAATCAAATTGTGTCTGATTTTTTCAAATCTATGGTACAAAATATCAGTTAAGTGATCTTTCACTTTCTTAAACTTTTCAAGATGTGATTCAACATTATCCAATAATTTAACATCAATAAATTCTCTAGCCGTAAGTCTTTGGATCAGTAGTAATAAAATCATTATAAGTAATAATAATTCATCATCATTTTCCCATTCATTGTCCTTCATGGCACAGTAATTATTTAAAAAGTCAACTATTTGTTGCTTGGAAATAAAGGTCTTATAAACAGGATGATAACTGAAGAAATAATCTACCAATTTAAAAATTACATGTAGATTCAATTCTTCAAGATTGGTCTTGGAAAGGTTTCTTGGCCCAATAATAGAATCAAGACCTAGTAAGAATGGTAATGGCTTCTTCAGCAACGACCTTTTGATCAAGTCTTGATTGTCCTGACTAGAAAATGATTCATGCATCTGTAACAGGTCATTTGAGCTTGGTCTTGTAGACTTTAGTTCCCCCAATCCTTTGTTTTTGCTATCTGATTCGGCATCGTTTGCCTTATTTTTGCCCTTGTCAAGGTTATCAATCATATAGTTCGAAGACAGCGGTCCATAATACTTATCACCCAATTCGGAGGTTTCTCCACTTATAGGAATAGGATCCTTCTGCTTAAATGATTCCAGTTTCTCATTCTTACTATTCGAAACACGACGATACCTATTTACCTGGGTAAGCAACTGCTGGTATTTCTTCTTCAATTTAGCATGCTCATCAGTAATTGTGGTCTTTTCGGTCTTTAAGTGATCCACTTCTTCAGCTAATGTCAGCAATCTCTTTGATTGTAAATTTCCCAGATGGCTACCTGTGTAATCGGATTCTGAATTACCTACGCTGCTACCTTCGCCACTGTTGTCCGAATGCAGCCCACTCATAGTCGAATTATCCAACTCATCCTCATTAATTTTAATATTACGAAATGTGGACGGAAAGTTACAACAAACCTTCCTCTTTTCACATTGATTACATGGTTTCATCTTATTACATTTGATTTTCTTACGACGGCAAGAAATACATGATATTGGGAAAACTTCACTCATTTTGTTTAAATCTATCCTAGGAGGCTCTTGCTACTTTTGTTGTTTTATCACACACTTTTTCGACTATTTTCTGTTGCTAGCCTACTAAATTAACTTGAAGCTGCGAAAAGCTATACCTGGTATTCAAAAGCTTATTAATATATGTTCTGTATTGTACTGGAATAGAAGAGCCATAAGTTGGTTAGTCCCCAAATGTTATCTATGTACCGGATAGAAGCACTTCATAAACGGAACTCCGAATGTTCGATCTCAATAAGCGATGATTCAGCTAGAATGCAGTATGTATACAATTGGCCGTTGTTAACGTCTTAGACACGGTGTCTCAAAGAAGCATATGCATGCACTATATACTTGTCACTCCTTTTTAAGTAGTTTAAATATTGAACATCCTTTGACACATAATACCTCGTGATTTTTCTTCAGAGACACTACAGAATACGGTATTAACATAATTCGGATAACCAAGTGGCTAGTTGTTCTTACTAAGTAGTGGGTAAGGAATATTCGTGGGCTATAGGCAATGTGTAGCCTGACACAGTATAAAATCAAAGTTTTGGAGGTGTGTATTTTAATATGTATACGACTATATGTTTCGAGGCGGATAGAGACATAGGATAGTGAAAATATATTTCGAAGCTAATAATAACACAAGACATTCAACAAAGACCGTTAGATATGCGTGACTAAAGAGCCGATATATGACTATAAAAATTTGACTTACAACCAGAGAGAAGGAACTAATGTCTATCATGTAGCGTCATGTTGCATGTTTGGTTCCAAAGCCAAAGTTAGCATTTAAAGTAATATACGAGATCAAACTAGAAACGATTCTGAGGAGCATGTATATCGTGAGGCATTAGTTATTGTATTTTATGAATAGTTTTGCTGTTGTACCTTGCATGCATAAAAGTAGTAACGACTCGCATATTACTACGGGACGCAATTTAAGAGGATGGGAGTAGAGCAGTTTTAGACGAGTCTAATTTGTCGGGCCTGTGTGCTGTGATACGTATTTGTAGCAAACATAGCTTCAGATAACGGAACCAATATAGAGCACTAACAGCAAATTAGGTAGCATGTGAAAGAAGAAAGGCCATATTATAAAAAGCTAGATCGAAGCATTGTTGTAAAATAATTAATTTTCAAATTTAAGCTGCAAAAAAGCTTCGACCATTTATTTAGGTAAGGAAAGCAAATACAAACACAATAAATATAAAATATATGCTTTAGTTACTATATACCCTAGAGATTATCAAGGGCCTGTAATGAAATATACATTACACTAGGAATCAAGAAATTATCGTTTAAATTGCTGACACCTTCTAGCACTCCTCCGAGAATACAGCTGACGAGTAAGTTTTCCCAGCTATGAACGTGTTGTGTCAAAATGTATTTATCAACAACATAGAACCCAGCCATGGAGAAGAAAATAAAAGCAGCAGTTCCTTGTACAGATTTCGAGCTTCCTTTCCATTTTAGAGAACCGAAATGTTTACCAATAACTGATGCAGAAGAATCACCGATTCCTAAGCCTATAATCCCAATAAAAGATTTACATGTAAGTTCACGTTTAATGCAGTAGTCGAAAACGATAGGGATAGTAACACCTATGATCAAGAAAATATACGACAAGTTCAATGGCCCCTTCAAATCTTTGAAGTCTTGGAAAATTACTAATTGTTTGTATAACCATTCTCCCAATATAGTGAATTTATTGTATCTCACGATTTCCAATATTATGAAAACAACTATTGATCCGAGTAAACTTATTATGGTGAAGATTGGCTGTTTTGGCAAACTTGGATACGCAATCATTACTAAAATTATATAGTGCCATACTTTTCTTCTGGAGTTTAAGGAAAGTTTGTTTGAGTTAATGAAAACGGCAGGAATGGAAACTAATAATAAAATTCCCCAAGAGCTTAAAATTTGAACTCTTTCTTCAGATTCCGTAATGTAATTCCAAAGCCAACTAATTGCATTAGTATTTGAGAGTATAGGTGCCAATAAATAGTTTGTAACAAAAGCAAATATACTTGAAAATAAAGCAATAATCCCTACACCAAAGATCTTCAGATTCCAGTTTTCATAAGCCTTGAAGAGAGGATAGATGAACACTAAACTTATTATCAAACTGATAATTAACTTCTGCAATATGGTCAATGGTAAATTGAAATCATCTGCCTCTCTTAAGCCAAATAATAAATTGGTAACCATTAAGCATAATAACTGGATTTCTGCTTTGTTCAATGTTGTGCTTGTGCCAGATATATGCTTCTTATCATTATTTTCTTGAATCAATTCTAAGTTTATAGCGTCATCTTCATCAATAACTTCATCTGATACGTATGTGGACGTATCTTCATTTCCTGAATTAGCTGAAGTGATGATATATTGTAGCAAGTAGTGCATGAACGTTATTTGAATCATCCTAAAAGTGGTAATGTCTTTATCTTCATTATAAACTTCGAAAAACATCACGGCCGAAATAAATTTAGGAATAGGATGCAAGCCGTCAATTATGAAATTATTCAAAGCTAAATTGACCAAAAAGAATTTCAGTTTGAGAAGAAACGAAATTGTTAATGGAATAAACACTGAATAAATATGATTGAATTCTGGTAATTCAGGTTCTTCAAACTGTCCAGGGTTCGCCACATGTTTCTTTAATTGGGCTTGATAGCCCAAGATCAAAGCTATACCAAGCCCTAACAAATTAAATCCGATAACAGCATAATTGTTCCAGAAATGTTCACCAAATGTCAAGTATAACACTTCACTAATGTATAAAACAACCAAAAGTTGGACAAACTTACACAAGTCTAAATTATCGTTTAAAAAATCTTGAACCCTGAAAATATAATTAAGCGGAAATGAATAAGACGATGGATCATCGCTTTCCTCACTTGCTGGGATATTCGACACCTCTGGCTGCACTGATTCATCAGCTATAGCACCATCGGCTTTTTCACCAGGATTTGCAAATATCGCTGCTGTAGACCTTACCCCTGTAGCAGGTGAATCTGCTTGGGAACTTCTTCCTCTTGAATTGTTTTTTCTAGGAGGCATATCAGCAAATGAATTGACTTATGGTCATATCTATTCCTAACAATTATCAGTTGGAAATCTTTCATTTTAATTCTGGTTATATGCACACCCATAAATTATGTTAAAACGTTCACTACAGCAGACCTATGATGAATATACTACAGTTATCTCCCAATTGTGTCAGATTTGATTCATTGGAGCATATTCAGTTGTAGCCTACCCATATGCTTATGAATTGGTATAATTATTTTAAGTTTTAATCAAAAGTAGAATATCATTAATTTGCATTTTTAGATAAGCAGAATAACAAGAAGTATGAAAGACAGAACGATACTAATCCAGATCTATGACTAAGCTTTGTTGGGTCCATGAGGTTATATTTGGGCTATCCGAAAACTAGGTAGCATAATTTTTTGATTTTATAGAGCAATTGTTGCGACTCAAATCTCGTGGGTAGTATATATTACAACTTTTCGGGACATATATATAAGTACCATTTTCGTTTTATTCTGACAATTGTAATTGAATCTTTCGAAATTTACACAAATTTATATCAGAAAATATGGTCAAAGCATTAATTGCAGTTACATCTTACAACGAGGTTTTCTATGACGATGGAGCCAAAACTGGGCTATTCGTTAGTGAGGCCTTACACCCATTTTTGGTTTTTAAGGAACAAAACTTCGATGTGGACTTTGTTTCCGAAACCGGTACTGTGGGCTACGATGAGCATTCTCTTAGTCCAGACTTTTTGAATGGTAAGGATGCTGAAGTGTTCAATGACAAGAATTCCGATTTCAACGTCTCAATCTCCCAGATTAAGAAAGCTTCGGATGTGAACGCAGATGAGTACAAAATTGTCTATTTTGCCGGTGGTCATGGTACCGTGTATGATTTCCCTCAAGCTACTGGCTTGCACAAAATTGCCCAACAAATCTGGAAGTCGAATGGAGTGGTGGCTGCAGTTTGTCATGGTCCGGCTATTTTTGATGGATTGAACGACCCAGAAAATCCAAACAAGTTATTGGTCGAGGGAAAGACTATAACAGGGTTTACTAACGCTGGTGAAGAGATCATGGGTGTTGTTGAGACATTAAAAAAGAAGAACTTGGGCTCTATTGAGAATTTGTCTTCAAGCTTGGGTGCAAAGTTCAGTCCACCATCAAGTCCCTTCGAAGAACATTCAATTGCTGAGGGAAGACTTGTTACAGGTTCAAATCCAGCATCTGCTAGCTCTACTGCTGTTAAGGCTATCAATGCATTGTCCTCATAATTGTAATGCCGACGTATATATTCTAAAATGTTCGCTACATACCGCGGAACATTATGAGTGTGTGTAATAATCAATTATTATTCATGATAAGTTTTTTGTAGTTCTCGTAGATACTTACAGTCTATAAGTAGACAGGGACGAGGTGAAATGAGTTCGATAATAAGCAGCATAAAGTTCTATATCAAGTCAACGATATTTGGCGCTTTAATTAGTGGTTGTGCAATATATGGGGTATTTGCATCAATTTTGTTGAGACTTATTGGAAAGAAGGAATATGCTCAATACACCGTTGCTAGGGCATTCTATTTTACCTTTTCCACTATACTTGGTGTAAAGATTACTATCAAGAATGAACATTTCTTGCACGATGTACCGGGTATTGTTATTTCAAACCACCAATCAGCATTAGATATTTTGATGTTGGGAAAAGTATTTCAACCAGGATATACAGTAACAGCTAAAAAGGCTTTACAATACTTCCCATTCTTGGGGTGGTTCATGTTGGCTTCTGGTACGTTCTTCTTGGATAGAGCTAGGGGAGAAAAAGCTAGAAAAGTTTTGGATAATGCCTTAAAAACCTTGAAGGCTGAGAAGAGAGCATTATTCATGTTTCCTGAAGGTACAAGATCTGCTACCAAAGAATTAGAAATGTTACCTTTCAAGAAAGGTGCATTCCACTTAGCACAGCAAGCAGGTATACCAATTATTCCAGTTGTGGTTAGTAACACCTCAACCATCTTTAATGCCAAGGATAGAGTGTTTAATTCTGGGGAAATTTTTATTGAGGTTTTAGAACCGATATCCACTAATGCTTTAGAAACAAGCAGCGATGTAAGTGCGTTCTCATTAAAAGTTAGACAAGAAATGATAGAAGCTTTACAGCATGTTGGTTATTCAAGAACACTGGGCACCTCTGCTGAACAATCATCTGTGAGCGACAACACGGATGAGGATATCACCGATATCGATACCGATACAGACCCAGAACAAAATGAGCTTTCTGAAGAAACTCCATTAATGGCAAAATGATTCGCACTGTTTGCAAGTAGAAATTTGAGATATATATCGCTAAATAATAAATATACTATTAAACTATATTAAGTTAGATTCATTGTTCTAGAATTATTGCCTTATTTTTCTTCTTCGTCTTCTTAGGCCTTTTAACTGAAATTATATTATCTTCAGTAGTAGAAGGATGCTCTTGTGCAGCCGTAGAATTCCCTGCATTAGACGCATCCTCATTTGTAATTTTTTTGTCACCACCATCTTTCTCTTTTTTCTTAGATTTACTTTTCTTAGATTTTTTTGGTTTCTTGCCAATCGACGATTCTGCCAATTTAGTCCTCAAGTCATCCAAATCAATATCGTATTCATAAGGCTTATTCTTAGGTTCTATTGTCGATGCAGTATCTGAAATTGATGAAGAATTCAAATCAAAATTATTTAAATTTGAAGAATCAATATTTAAAACATTCTTCTTTCTAGGTTTTGACGGTTGAACTACTTCAGGCTCTGGCTCATTATTTGAACCTTCAATAGTTTCTTCAGATAAAATAACTACCCTTTCTTTCTTCACTTTCTTGGATTTAGGTTTCTTTGATTTTAATTGTTGGCCGGAATGAATTGAAGAAATCTCATTAAAATCAGGACTTGATTGCTTCTCATCATCTGCCACAAGAAGTTTATTTGACTTGGATTTTGATTTAGACTTCTTATTATTTGTCGAGGTAATATAATATGGATCATCTTTTAACCTCTCGATTCTCTCCTGTTTTTTTCTGAGATCCTCCTGACTCCCTTCGTTAGAAAGATTTATTAAAGGATAATCCGACTCGTGTATAGAAGAATCGTCCGACAAAAACATAGAATAAGAATCTTCATCATTGTCTTCATCTTCACTTAATTTTTCGATTGGAGGTACATTAATTTGATTATCTAAATTCAAACTCTGAGGAATTTGAATCTTGCGTTGAGAATTCCAGGAAATTGGATTTAATGGATAGGATTTAAAGAATGAAGGTAAAACATGTGTTAATAACATTGGTAATTGCTCATTAAATGACTCTGGAGAGTGCGATGAATAGTCTTCAGTCAATTGGAGGGCATTCTCTATAGACGAGCTATTGAATGCAGCACCATTCAGGTCAATTGCATTAGCGTCCTCTTTTTCTTCATCCAGTGATAGTAAGTTTTCATAATTTTTGCTTAAGTGGATTTTTGTATCAGTTTTTAAGCTATTTTCTTCATTATCTTCTTCATCACTACTCTCTTCATCACTAGCCTCTTCATCACTAGCATCTTCGTCACTGGTCTCATCACTATCTTCCTGATCATCAATTTCCTCATCATCATCATCATCGTCACTGTCGCTAAGGGATTCATTTTCACCGTCCTTTTTCTTTTCAGCTAACGCTAACTGCTTATAATATTCTACTTCTTCACTTTCTAACTTCTCAATGGCCGCATAGTTATTTTTGACCATGGCTTCTAAACATAGTTTCAAGAACTCTAACCAAGATAATGCACGTTCCTGAACTTCATAATTAGAGTGATACTCCCAGTTCTCTAAAAAATTAATCAATTTAAATAAAAAGTAACTGAGTTGTTTATAATTCTCCTGTGTTATGGATCCATTAACAGAATTGTAACCAGTAACAATTCCGTTATATAATTTAATTAATGCCTGGATCAAGACAACAAGAACTTCAGATTGTTGTAACTTAAGAAGTTTAGCAGATATTGGAAAATTGAGTGAAGTTACTAAGTTTAGTTTACAATCAATTTTATTATTTACGAGTGTATTGAAAATTTGAATCAATTTCCCAATATCTACCTCACTGGTAACATTGCTTATGTCTTCATCTTCATCACTTTCATCAGAAGTAATCCTAAATTCATCAATGTATTCTCCCATTATCCAATAAAAGTCTCTTAATAGTAATGGACAGTTTTCCAAGATTCTAACATCTTGAACAGCATCAGAAATGACTTTATTAAGAATTGCTGATCTAATAGATGGTACTCTTGTGGCTAATATTTTAAATTCCTTACCAATAGCACTCGCTATAGAATTGGAGATGCTTTGGGAAATAGTTGCATTATTTATAGAAGATAATGGTAATAAAGTTAAGTTAATCATGTCTTTCAACACTGCAATATACCATTTGAAGTTAGGAATATTGGAGTAATTATCTTTTGAGGATATTGATAATATTTTCATAGTTATTTCTAATTTCAAAGTTTCAGGGATTGCAGTTGTTTCAGAAGGAATTAATTGAACTAATAACACCTTAACTAATTCAGTTATATTATCTTCGGTAACTAAACTAGAACTGACTTCCAATGCTTTTCGTTTAATAATAAGGTCATTATCAGTAAGACAATCCATAATCACTTGTGAAACACCTTTCACTTTATGCATCAAATCAGGAAATATTTGTAGAATGTTAATTAAAGCTAATAAGCCAACAAATTTTAAATTAGAATCTCTGGTTTCGAAAAAATTCATGATTTGCTCGATACATGTTTTGGCAGTTTCTCTGTCTTTAGACGAATCTGGGTACAACATTGAACCATTGACAATACAATTAATGCACTCATATATTAAAGAAGAAGCCTGGGTTTTTAACATTAATTCCATTATGGTTGGCAATATTTTCTTTTTCATTCTTGGCTCAACTTTTGACAAGCTTTGAAACAATTTGAGAATTCTGATAATTAGCCAATTATTTTTAGTCCCTTCTAAAATTGTGAAAAATTTTGGCAAGTAAGTGACAAATACATTTGGATTCTTCTTTGAAATCTCACAAATCACATTAATGGTAGCACTTACTACAGAAATGTCAGAGTCATCCAATTTGTCTATGATTCTATTAAAGTTCATCCTTAAACTATCTGGGTATTGTAGGAATATTTTGTACATTGCCAACACGGCCTTTTTACGAATATATGGCTTGGAATGATTTAATTTAATTAACACATCATCGTTTATGTCTTTTGATAAATTGGGTGTCACAATTGTAGCAATTCCACTTAATGCAAGACCTATTTCGATATGATTATGCGAGTTTAAATCCTTCTTAAATTGATTAGTAGCAAGAATTAATAAGTCTTGTTCGTTTTTGAATGACTGTATTGCTGCCAAATAGCCAATTCTTTTCTGTTGAAACTTACTTGAAGACATAACTTCTAAAATTTGAAAATTACACCATGACATTTCAAAGCCATACATTTCCAAATATGTTAACTTCAATATTGCCATAGCTTTTGTCTCTAGATCAGTTGTACTCAATTCATTTTTGCATTCCATAATTGCAGAATCCAAGAATGCCAGTAAGCTTTCGGCGGATTCTTTGGAATATGATCTGATTCCTTTGATTAAATCACTAAGTGATTTTTCAAACAGAATACCAAAAGGCTTCAATCTTGCCAATACTTCTGCATTCTGCAACTGAAATGATGACATGGTCAAATCAATATGAACTTGTATTAGTTTATTATCCCAAGTTTTGGGCGGTAAAATCTTAAAAGTAAGAGCGAAACGACAGTTCACCATGCCATGATTTTGTGTCACTATCAAATTCCATAAAACCTGTATCAATTCCTAAGTTGATAAATGGAAGTGTAATTTGGAGATAAACATGTCCTTTGACAATGCCACCAATAACCTGAAGGATTGTATAAACACAGAACCTAATAATAACAGAATAACTAGCGTTGACTCTGTTGGGCAGGAGGAAACGATGTCTTCGACAAAATCGAACCACCCGAATGATATAGGGTCTTGCAGTGAAAGCGATAGCGATGATGACGACTATTTCCTAAGCGACGAAGAAGAGTTGAACAATATAAGTTCTAATCCAAACGAGGGCGAGGCTCGTTTGAATTATTCGACGAGTATGGCCGACCATATTGCATATCTTTCTAATTCACTTACTTATGCATTAGATTCATTGCAATTAGATAAATCGCTTGTTTTACAGGCACAACTAAGCGGTCAGTTGAACAACGAAAAACGAAAAATCATAGACAAAAGAAAAGAAGTTGTTGAAAAAATTGAGAATCTAAAGCATCTTTATGATTACAATTTTGGCTCAGCTAATATCAAATCAAGCCTCAGTAGAGTGGAGAAATTGAAACAAGATATAACTGAAATCGAATATAGAATTGAGAAATTAAAATCAGGTCCTTCGAAAAGTAATGGTTCAACACTTAGGGCAATGTTTAAATCAAAAAACCAGAATACAGGAATCGCCAATAGGTACCCTATTGAGTATAACCAGGCTAAAGATAAAGTTTTAGAAAGACAAATTGAAGAATAACAACATTATATTTTATCTTTTATCTAATCACTTGTATATATGATTCCCAAACCATCTAACCATGAACCTACATAACCATACATGCCTATTACACGAAAACCTCGGCCAGGGGATTCCAACGTCGATAAATGTCCACCATTCCCATTACCAAACATTGGTGATTTTCTGCCGGTATTTGTTTCAATTTGAATAGCATCAATCCAGGCACCATTTCTAATATGGAATTTGGTAATAAATTCACCCAGGCCAATATCATAGTCCGAATAATGTGACTTTTCATGGCCAATGGTTACAACCTTATGGCTTGTTTCTTGAGTGTTGTTTCTAGTATCAGAAGAATCGGACAGTTTGTTAGTTAGCCTGTGTAAATAATTTCTAAGAGGAACTTTTGGAGGGTTTTTTGCTTCAGCATTATCAGAAGTATTGAAATAAAATCTAACACCGTCTAATGCGCCTCCGTGATAAATACGAACCTTGTAAACTTTTTCAAGCTCAAAACCTATGACTGATTCTTTATCTTTGCTTTTACCTAAAAGTGCACTTTTATATCCGGTAAGAATACCTCTGTTTAAGCCAAAATCACTCTTGATTACATTTTGAGCTGCGTCAGTTGAGCAATGTTTCTTGAAATCATTAATATACAAATCACCACCCAACGACAATACTCTTACTGCGAAATGCTCATCAACTTCATTCGAGTTCTTCCTGAGAGATTGAAAGCAAGAATCATAGTCTAACATTATTTCATGTTGTAGACCTGTACCACCATAGGACTTAGGGAAATAGGAAAAGGAATGTCTTGTTAAGTCTTTAGAAATGAATTCAATCAAATAGATACCAGATCCAGACTTAATAAGGGCTCCTCCCAGAGGGGTATTATACAGAGTTGGTGTTCTATATGATCCTTCATAGCTATCATCCAGAACCATAGTTGTGGATTGTACCTTTCCATATGTTGGATCGTTTGAATCAATTGGCAAACTAAAGGAGTCATGATAGAAGAACCTGATTAAATCCAATCTGTTCCAGTGACAAACCTGAGGCCACACGCCATTAGAATTGATCAATTGACCTCTAGATTTTGTTCTTAGGCATTCTACTTCCCTGGTCATAAACGACCTGTTCCACCAAATATAATCACGAAGCATCACACCATCGACTTGATGAGGACAGCCTAATAAATGTCCAATTTCATGCATAAATGCACCCAATGTAATGTTCAAACATTCCCAACTTGTACCACATTGATTACAATCATTTGCAACCTCATTAATGGATAAATGAGTTCCATCTAAAAAGCTTGGAGTTAATTGAGGGAAATTAGAAGGCCATGAATGTAATCCATGAGACCCAAATATTGCTAATTTGATGTTTGAATTACCACCACCTAATGCAGCATGCGTTAAGATAATGTTCAGTTTCGTATCAAAATGTGAATCCAAATACAAAACAGCACATTGAACAGCAGTCTTCAGGCGCTTAAATTTGTCACTTAACTCAGGAGTTTTATCAATAAGCTCCAACGCATGACTGAAAAGCCCGCCGGTATTATTTCCTTTTGAATTCTGCTGGGCTAAATTAGGATCTCTTAATTCAGCCACCGTTTTCGGAGATCTCAATACGTGTATTTTAATTTCTTGATGTGAAGTCGGTGAATCTACAGTATAACCAAATATCCCTTGGCTTGCAACAGATTCTTCCACAAACTGGAAGGACCTATTACTCATACCCGTAGACCTCATATCATCCTGCGTAAAGGCTTGCATTAATCTACCAGCTACTTTCAACTTTTTAATTGCCGTTTGAAGATTCGCTTGCTCACCTCGTTTCAATCTATATTGTGGCATATCATAGACTCCTTTAGAGTCTTTACCAACTAAGACACATAAATGAACTGGTTTATTCTGCGGCAATGGATTGAAATTAATATTTAATTCAGATCTATCCACAACTTTAGGCTTTCCGTGAAAGTACTCAGGAAAGCCGAAGGGATTTATACGTCCATTATCCATAATCTCAATTATGAGCCTATTCCTCTCATTTGGTGAGACATGAATCAAAGCCTTGAAATTACCATTATTGACCTCAAAACATTGTGGTGGAAATACCCGATTATCGTTATTCACAACTTGTACGATACCTTGCGTAATTCCAGTCGAAGTTTTTCCACTAATTAAAACGGTGGGTGACGATACAATCTCATTATCTTGGTAATTTAACGTAATTGTCATTATATGTGAACTTCAATAGGAATGATAACTTTGCTAAGTTTAATAACCTTAACAAATGGTTATAGCCTGAATTTTGATACAGCACGTGATATAAATACTCTACATAAAAAGAAGCCATTTTGAATAATATTTTGGATCAATATCGGACCCTGCCGCTAGGAATGTCAGAGAAGCGATCTAATAAGCGATCAGAGGCCGCAGTAGCAGCAGCAAAGCATTGGAGTAGTAAGAAGAGACAAAAGGAAAACACTAATGGGCAAGAAAGCACGAAAAGTTCTGAGGAACATCAGGTTGATATTGTATCTTCTCCCAAAGAAGTTATTGTGGTGTCGTCTGAAGATGAGGCACTTGATGAAAAAGACAATAGAGAACCTAGTCAAAGTATTGAATTAAATCGGTCCCAAATAAGGCTCATGAGTGATCCGAGCTATTCGTTACATGAAATAAAAATTGATAATGATGTGAATAAGGACACGATTCTGTTATCTGATTTAGTTGGTAGCAAAGATTTAAAAGAGACCTATCAGTTCAATTTTAGCGTAGACTTGGAGTTTTTTCTTATGCATTTACACCCTGACATGTCAAAATATCTGAGAAAAATTACATTTATAACTGGGTCCAGGTTACTTGACGCAAATGAACTGATCCTGGATATTGCGTTTATAAAGTCGAAGTTTAATATCAGTGAGTTGACAGCAGATCTTCCAATAAGGTTTGGAACTCATCATACAAAATGATGATCAATTTTTACACAGACGAGACTTGTGAAATAGTCATAATGACATGTAATCTACAGAAAATTGATTTTGGCGGATTAACTCAGATGTGTTGGAAGTCAGGGAGATTACATAAATCAAATGGTATTAAAACCCCGAAAAGGGGAGCTCTATTTCAAAAGGATTTAAAGAATTACTTATGCAGGTATAAGAAGAAGCCACTAAATGAATTATCTAAGTGTATTGATGAATACGACTTTCTGCCAGTTAATGTAGAATTGATAGCATCAGCTCCTGGATTTTTTAATATGGCAGAAGCAACTGATGAAAGTGAAATATACGGTTATGGGAAGTTATACCAAGTTTTACGGAGGAATAACTTATTGATAGATAATTCGAAGCGAGAAAATAAATATAACGTATTAGCCCAAGTATCATCTATTTCATACCCATTTGCTACAGAAAAACTGAATACAGCATCAATTTTTTCACATTTATTGTGTCCTCTAATATTCTCAGGAATGTCTAGAGTATCATTCAATTCATTAAAGCCAGGTGCAGAGCTGTTTAAAAAAAATCAAAATACGCATAACTATAAACCTCATATATTATATCCTAGCGTAGAGGATGTAGCTAATAGCAATGTTGGTTTTGCGTCTGGACAAGCACTTCATTTTAAATATACAACAACACCAACTCATCGGAATCAATATGAGCAAAATATCAAACCATATTTGTACCGATGGCAATCTGGATCATCTAAAGATGAGACAGGAAGAGAAAATGTAGTACCCCATGTTAAGTTATATATGTGTGATAACGGCGACGATTGGTCTACTTTAAGATGGGTCTTAATGGGCAGCCATAATCTTTCTAAACAGGCGTGGGGAGCCAAGAACGGAGCTAAGTTTACAAATGGAGACCCTCTGATATATCAAGTGTCCAGCTATGAACTAGGAATTTTAATTCCAGGAAATGTGAATCAAAATAAAAGAGAACATACATTAAAACCAGTTTATGGCAGTGATACTTTCCCTACAGGAGAGAGGAATAACTATATACCTTTGAGAATGCCATTTAAATTACCTCCTGTAAAATATCAGTCTTCAGACAGACCTTGGAGTGCCATAATTAATTACGGAAACAACCCGAAGGATAGATTTGGCCAATGTTACTATGGGCTCGATACTTAATCCAAGCTTTACAAAGATGTTTCATTCTTCGCATAAATAGAACTCATGTTAATTTTTAATAAGATTCAAAAATAATTCAATTTATAATCATATAATACAAATACAATATTGAAATATGTATTTATCCATTGATAATACTGTAGTTACCTTTGGGTGCAAATTTGAGTATGTATGTGCAGTATTGATGTTTACGCGTCTTTTTTAAAAAATCACGTCTAATTATACATTTCATTTACAACAAGTTTGAAGCGCTAAAGCCTGAGGTAGACTAAGACTGATTATACCTTTTGAAGGTTTAGAAGACTTATAAAGGAAAGATAAATAAAATGCACATAAAAAGAATAATAATTCAAGGGTTCAAGACGTATAAAAACACGACAGTTATTGATCTAGTATCACCACAGCATAACGTCGTTGTTGGACGGAATGGATCAGGGAAATCTAATTTCTTCGCTGCAATTAGGTTTGTATTATCAGATGCATACACACATATGACCCGTGAAGAAAGACAGGGGCTTATACACGAGGGTTCAGGAACTGTGATGTCAGCGTATGTTGAAATTGTATTCGACAACTCCGATCGTAGATTTCCTATTGCCAAAGATGAGGTTTCTATTAGAAGAACGATAGGTTTGAAAAAGGATGACTACTCGTTAGATAATAAATCGGCAACAAGATCAGATGTAATGAATTTGTTGGAAAGTGCTGGATTTTCTAGATCGAACCCATATTACATTGTGCCACAAGGTCGTATCACCGCATTAACAAATTCTAAGGATTCTGAAAGACTAGCATTACTAAAAGAGGTCAGTGGTGCTAAAGTATTTGAAACTAAATTAAAGGAGTCGATGAAAGAAATGAATAACTCTAATTATAAAAAGCAAAGAATAGATGAAACCTTACATTCAGTTGATGAAAGAATATCTGATTTACAAATTGAATCGAAAGATTTAAAAGAATTTCAAGGATTGGAAAAGTCCAAAAAAATTTTTGAATTTAACTTATTCGATAGGGAAATGAATGACTTGAATACTCAAGTGGAGTCTATTGATGAAGCATATGGAAATTTGCTTACCGAGTCTCAGCAAGATTTAGAGGAGTTAGATAAGCGGGAAAAGATATGTCAACAACTTACCGATTCTATTAATCAATTGAAGATTTCCTTAAAGATTACTGAATTGGAAAAAGACCAAACGGACTCAGATTATAATCAATTATTGAAATCCATAGCAGACAAAAAGGTTAAGCTTGATGAATTACAGTCCACCATTAATATTCAGAAAGAAGAACAAACAAATTATCATGATTCAATACAACACTACCAAAATTTAATCAAGCATCATGAAGATAAAATTTCTCAATTCAACCCAAATTTACAAAAGTATCAGAAAAAGGAATCAAAGATCAAAGCTAAACTATCTGATTTGATAACAAAACAAAGAGCTTTATATTCTAAGCAAAATCGTTTCCTGAAGTTCACTTCTAAGGATGAAAGAGATATATGGTTAAAAGAGCAAATAGCAAAAACATCAAAAGAGTTACAATCGAAAGATGACCAGATGAATAAGTTAGATTCTCAAGCCAATTCCGAAAGAGAAGAAATTTTTGAATATAACAAACGAATCGAGCAAATTAACGAGCTCCTCAGCGATGACAAACAAGGTCAGATGATCGAAGACCTACAAGATTCAATGAATGACTTAAAAGTCAAGATCACCGAATTAACAGATCAACGGAAATCTCTCTGGCGTGATGAAATAAGATTGAAGAGTATTCAAGATTCGCTAAATCGTGATTTAGATAATGCAAATTACTTAGTTAACCAGACAATGGATAGAGCTCAATCACAAGGTCTCAGCTCGGTTAATGCTATTGTTAAAAAGTTACATTTAGAAAATTCGGTTTATGGGCCATTAGCAGACCTATTCAGTGTTAGTGATAAATATAAAACTGCTGTGGAGGTTGTTGCAGGAAATGCTTTGTTCCATGTTGTGGTCGATACTGATAAAACAGCCTCATTGATCATGGATGAATTGAATAGGACCAAAGCAGGTAGAGTTACTTTTATGCCATTGAATAGACTAAGTCCTATAAACGTTGAATACCCAGATGGGTCAGAGCATCAATGCATACCTTTGATCAAAAAATTAAAATTTAGTGATGAGAATGTTGGACGAGCAATAAGACAGGTATTTGCTAAGACCATAGTTTGTAATGACTTACAAAAGGGATCAGAATTAGCAAGAGCTTTCAAAATTAATGCTATTACTTTGGATGGTGACAGAGCAGAAACAAAGGGTGTATTGAGTGGTGGTTATAGGGATTATAAGAATTCACGTCTTGACGCTCTTAAGACACAAGCCAGAAAAAGAAGTGAAATATCTAGGACCGAGCAAGATTTAAAAGAATGTGTTCAAAATATTGAAAATGTGAATAGAGAGCTTACGTCTTTCAACAGTGAATTACAAGTTAAGGCTCGTGAATTGGATGAAAAATTATCTACAAAGGAACCTTTGAAAGCAGAACTATCTCAATTACAGAATAAAAAGTATAATGCTGATCAAGAATTAAACACTTTGGTTACAAATATTGAAGCGGTGCGTACAATCAGAGGAAATTTATCTACTATTTTGAATCAGCATCACGAAGAACTAAAATCAGAATTCACACAGTCTTTATCTACTAATGAAACAGATGAATTACAAAATCTTAGTATACAGATATCCGAATACGAGAATAAGTTGGATAGAACTGTAACAAAATTATCTGACGTAGAAGCGAAGATCTCTAAGTTTGGATCTGAATTGGCGGATAACTATAGACCACACCTATTAAAATTGATTAAAGATCGTGAAGCACCTAATTCAAAATTTAATAAACACCAAATCAAAGAATTAGAAAAGGAATTGGAATACTTGACTATTCAACTAGATACAGCAGAGTCTAAAAATCAAGCTGCAACAGATGAATTTAATAATGTAAGTGATGAAATAGTAAAGAGTGAGTCGTTATTGAAAAAGGCTAATGAACAGCAAATCTTAATAATGAAAAAATTAGAAAAGTTTTCCAAGACAACCGAAAAGAATTTATCAAAGAAGGCTATTCTAGTTGCGCGTCGTGATGAAATTCAAAGAAAGATCCTGGAGTTGGGTGTTCTTCCGGAAGAAGCATTCCAACAATCTATTTATGACAAATTCAATTCAGACCAACTATTGAAAAAATTAACTAATGTGAATGATAGCCTTTCTAAATATTCCCATATTAACAAGAAAGCGATGGAGCAGTACCATACATTTACGAAACAACGTGATGAATTGATGGAAAGAAGGAAAGAATTGGAAAAATCAAGGGAATCTATAGAAAACTTAATAACCAGCTTAGAAACTCAAAAAGATGAAGCAATTACTCAAAGCTTCAAACAAGTTGCAAAGAGCTTCCACGAAATTTTTGAAAAATTAGTTCCCGCAGGTGTCGGTAATTTGATTATGCAAAAGAAAGACCAAAATATGAGTAAGGAAGGCTTGCAAGGTGAAGACGAAGCTATGAGTTCAGAGGAAGATAGCATCGTAGATGAAGCTCAGAATATTGACAATTACGTCGGTGTTTCTATTTCTGCATCATTCAACTCCAAGAATGATGAGCAACAAAGAATTGAACAATTTTCTGGTGGGCAAAAATCGCTATGTGCAATAGCACTTATTTTAGCTATTCAAAAATGTGATCCAGCTCCATTTTATTTATTTGATGAAATTGATGCAAACTTGGATACCCAATATAGAACTGCAGTTGCAGCTATGATCAATTCCTTGTCTAACAAGGCACAATTTATCTGTACTACCTTCAGACCAGAGATGTTACAGGTTGCTGATAAGTTCTATGGTGTAATGTTTAATAACAAAGTTAGTACTGTTTCTGAGATAAATAGAGAGGAGGCTATGTCGTTTGTAGAAGGTCAACAACAACACTAATTTTCATCATTAATATTAAATAATTAATTATATAATTAAGCTATAAGTTTTGATATAGATAATACGACTAGATTATAAAACACGTATTCTAAGTGGTTCCTGGTTCACTAGTATTTTTGTTATTTTTACCATTTGAATCTGATGATTTTTTTTATACGCGAGATCTGAAAAAGTAACAAAAAGAGACAACTAGCTTTATACTTATTTCCTTCTTTAGTTAGTCATTTAGTTGTATGATTATAGAATGAGTTCAAACAGACTGTCTAAGATATTAAACCGTAAAAATATTATAGACTTGATAGCAGATGGAAGAGCAATCATTATTTATAAGAAGTACGTGTTAGATTTGACATCATGGTTGTCGAAACACCCAGGTGGAGATAAAGCTGTTCATCATATGATTGGAAGAGATGCTACAGATGAAATGCACGCATATCATAGTTTGGAAGCTGTTCGGTCGTTTAAATATTGGAAAATTGGAGAAATTAATTATTATTGGGAGAATTTGTTACCACCAATCCAAGGTGCAGTGTATCCTTATAACGAAGAAAAAGCAAATAATTTGTCCACGTTGGAAAGTAAAATTGATGAATCAAGCACAGATGCTTCTGATTATGAATTAGTCTCTTCAGCAAGTTCTTCGAATTCGATTGACTTAAGCGAAGCGAAATCAAGTTTATCCCAGAGCAAAGAGGAAACAGTGGTTTCGTATAAAGGATTAGGATACCCAAAAGGATACGTAAAGCCTAAAGTATCTCAAAATGTATCTGTGATAGACACAAATAACAAGGACGAAATCTTTCCTATTTCAACTGATCAGACTATTATAGACCCTAAAATACTCGTAGCTAATTATGATAATGCATTATCTCAGAAAGATGTATTGAGTATGCCTGCATTGGATTATAAAACACAACAAGCTTTACGAGACAAGTATAATGAGTTACATGAGATAATAGTAAAGAATGGCTTTTACCAATGTGATTATTGGCTGTATGTTCGAGAAATGGTTAAAATTGGAAGTTTATTCCTTTACTCCTTTTCATTTTTCAAATTAAATTATTTAAAATTAAGTGCTTTGTTTATGGGAATCGCATGGCAACAGATGACGTTTATTGCACACGATGCTGGCCATGTTTCTATCACGCATAATTATCAGATAGATAATCTATTTGGAATGGTAATTGCTGACTGGTTCGGTGGCCTTAGTTTGGGATGGTGGAAGAGAAACCATAATGTTCATCATTTAATTACTAATGACCCAGTGCATGATCCAGATATTCAGCATTTACCTTTCTTTGCTGTCAGTGTTAGATTATTTGAAGATGTTTATTCGACATATTACGAAAAATATTTACCTCTAGATGCAGTGGCTAAAAAAATGATCCAGATACAAGAATATTTATATTATCCTATATTATGTTTTGGAAGATTCAACTTATATAGATTGTCATGGCTGCATTTAATTTTCGGCGATGGACCTCGCCACGGAAAAGCTGCTTGGTTCAGATACTTCGAGTTAGCAGGATTATCATTTTTCTTTTATTGGTTTTTCTACTTAATCGTTTTCAAGTCAATTGATCTGAAATGGGATAGATTTGCGTATGTTATGATTAGTCACATAACTACCATGCTAGTACACGTTCAAATCACATTATCACATTTTGCAATGTCCACATCAGATTTAGGAGTTAGCGAGAGCTTCCCTCTGAGACAACTTAGAACTACTATGGATGTTGATTGTCCTGAATGGTTAGATTTTCTTCATGGTGGGTTACAATTTCAGGCAATTCATCACCTATTCCCACGATTACCAAGACATAATTTTAGAAAGGTTCAACCGTTTGTTATAGATTTTTGTAAAGATGTTGGGTTACATTATTCTATCTATGGCTTTGGCGAAGGAAATGATTTAGTTCTTGGAAAATTGGGTGAAATTGGTACTCAATGTAGCATTATGCTAGATGCTACAAAACAATTAAAGAACAGTGATCACTGAATTATTTATTATGCCTCAAATATGTTTCATATATGCCTATAAATGTCCTATATATGCTTTAGATATGCTTAAGTATGTAAAAGATATTCAAATTGTCACGTCATGGTCCATTAGACCTTTTTCATTAAGAAATTCTAAGAACTCCAAAACTTTACTATTTTCATTTTCAAAATGTTCCTTTTGCACAAGCATTTTGAAAAGTAATGGATGTGCATTTGTATCTTTCTCGTTTACGTACAGCTCATTCTTAAATCTTTGGGGTATCACTACCAGTATATTGTTAATGGTTTTAGTATTTTGACCGGGTTTTCCTCCACCAGACGTTGTAGTCTCATGAACATTTTTACATTTATTCCCAAATTTGCATCTTTTATTATTTTGGTAGAACTTACATATGTTCTTAGGTTTCTTGGTATTCTGTGAAGCACTTGATTCATTATTTCTTTTCTTTGAATTAGAGGACGTAATACCTTGTTCCTGACGTAATTTCTCCTTTTCTTCTATATTGCGTCTCGATGGCCACTTTTTTTTCCTTTCCTCTATCCATTTTTTAATATCCTCTTCTGTATTTAGAGTTATATTCGTCCCAGGTATAAATACAGGCTCATTCGAATTATTTTGGCCCTCTATCTCATCGTGCATTATATCGGTTTCTTCATTTTCACTATCTTCATTGTTCTCTAATTCGTTTGAATGACTTGAACTATTCGGTAAATACGTTGGTAAATCCCTCAAATCATTCAGATCTTGCAGTACTGTGTTTGACTTGCCTTCACCCGTAGCATCATTATTGAACCGATTATTAACGTTTGAATTCCTTTTATCTAGGTTTCCTCGGTTATTAAAGGTATTGCTGTTATTTGAGCCAGACTTCCTAGTGGGTGGTGGTGGTGGTGGTGGTGGAGCATATACAAAATCCATCCTGCGTACACTGTGTCCCTTGGTTTATAATTACTACCAGCTTATCTACTACTGTAATGAGCGATGCCTACAACTTACCGTATCAAGTAATGTCGCACTTCGAATGTCGCACTTCGAATGTCGTACATCATCACCATGACATGTATAAGGCCACTTGTTACTTCTATTCAAACACAGCCTTATATTCTGTGCGTTATTATCTTAAATTCGGTAATTCGTTCTCGCGGTCATCAATGTGATATTGGGGCAATATTCGTTTCTATTGTAACATTTCGTACATTTGAACTGATACTGGTATTTGTGATAGTTGCATGAGGCCAAGTAGTTGATACCTCCTGACCGTTTATATATCAAAGCTCATACCACGATTCTAAATATAGATGAACCTTCACTTCGGTGGTATCTTCAATATAGTAGCCAGTATTAAAATGTAGAGATGAAAATCACATGACCGGATCGACAATAAACTATCATTTGACGTGAAACAGAACAATAAACCAATAAATGAATAAAAAGATATTTTAATTTCATCAAACTCAACTTGAAGTGTTATAATTTTAAGCCATAATAATAATTCGAGATGGTAAGTTGAAATATCTAACAGGAAAGTTAATAATATGTACAGATAGGGATACTAACAAATCGCAGTCGTACTATCAGCAACAACAAGGCTACCCACCTCAACAAGGACCACCACAAGGATACTATCAACAAGGACCACCACAAGGATACTATCAACAACAACAACAGCCAATGTATGTTCAACAACAACCCCAGAAACTGGGAGGGGGATGTTGCTCCGCATTCTGTGGATGTTGTGCGGCTATAATCTGTTGTTGTTGTGCTGAAGAATGTTTGGGTGCTGCTTTAGGCGGTTGAGCTAAATGAGATGAAAGAGAAAAAAGAACAATTCATATGGGTCTGATAGATGTCATTTGTATAAATATGTTTAGAAAATTGTTTCGTTTTTATGTTTTAGTACCTTAAGAATTAAAATTCAGTTTGTTTATTATTTGTGTAGACCAATCCAGGGAACCTTGAATTCGCTTCGAGTGAAGCTTGTAGGATTAGCCAGCTAGTTGATTTTTCTATAGTCGACATTAGTAAATATAAATAGTTCTGGTCTTGTTCTAATAATTCACACCTTGTTTTAAGAATTTCAGTACGACTGGGGAACGCTGCGCAGATAATTGAAGACAGCTGTAGTTTCATTTAAGGTAAACCAGAAGTTCCGACCTCAATTAATGAGCTTAATAATAGAAGATGAAAGCATTATATAATCTATTTGAATGTCTAAGAGGCGGACTAAGTAGCGAATAAGGCTAAACAGGAGCATTAATGAATATATATGCTCTAAATGCTCTACGCACATCAGTTTCTACTTCAGTTTAGTTAAATGCTTTCAAATACTACAAAATGTTGAAAATCAGTTTACTCCATGTAAATTGTGTTTGGTAAATAAGGCAATAACTAACTCTATCTAGAAGAACTATTTTTTATTCTTCTTGTTTGAAGTCGAGTTCTTTGGCAATTCTTTAACAAAGGGAATGAATTCAGGTTCACCAGGAATGTATTTTCTTAAAACTTCTGGAATAACCAACCCATCCTCGGTTTGGTAGTTTTCTAAAATACAGCATAATGCTCTTTGGGTGGCAGATAAGGTTGAGTTCAAACAGTGAACATACTTCTTTTCGGTTTGGTTTTGTTGCTTGATACCACATCTAATTTCCAAGTTACGGGATTGGTAATCGGTACAGTTAGAACAAGAGACCAATTCCTTGTATTCCTTTTGGAATGGGAACCATGCTTCCAAATCGTATTTCTTGGCAGCAGCGTTGTTTAATTCACCAGAGACAATACCAACAACTCTGTATGGTAAACCTAAAGATTTGTAAAATTCTTCTGATAAACCGATCATTCTGTCGAATTCTTCCCAGGATTTTTCTGGTTCAGTCAAAACGAATTGTTCAATCTTTTCAAAAGCATGAACTCTGAAAATACCCCAAGCATCCTTACCGTGGGAACCAGCTTCCCTACGGAAACATGACGAGTAACCAGCATATCTGACTGGCAATTGTTCTTGAGGAGATTCAAACCATTCACCTGCGTGGTAGGCAGAAATTGGTTGTTCAGAAGTGGCAATCAAATATTTCTCATCATCTCCATCCATGACCTTGTATAATTCTTCGTCAAATTGAGATAATTGCGCAGTTTTGGCCATGACATCCTTATTCATCATAACTGGAGCTTGCAATGGAGTGTAATCATTCTTGGCTAAGAAACTTAAACCATAGTTGATTAAAGCTTGATTTAAGAAAACACCATAGTTTCTTAAAAAGTAACCACGGTGACCGACTATTCTTACACCTCTTTCTGGGTCGTAACCATCTAATCTTAACAAGATTTCGTGGTGTGATAATTTGGCTTCGGCCCCAGTACAAGATGCAATTTGGCCAACTTCAGCAAGTGATTCTGGTTTCCAAGTTCTAACTAACTCATTGTTTACTTCATCTTGTGAATCAACAACAGATTTATGAACAATGTTACCAACTTGGTTAACCTTATTACGTAAATCGGCATCAGCCTTTTGTTCTTGTTCAATGAAAGATTTTTTATCAGCAACAAGCTTATCCTTTTGTGCCAACAAGTCAGCGGCATCTTCCTTAGCCTTGAACTTTTGACCAATTTGCTTTTGAAGAGCATTTAATTCTTTGTTTAAAGCATCTAAGTCGAATCTAATCTTGGTCCAGTCTTTGTAATCTTGAATAATTTCATCAACAATTTCAACAGAGTCACCTCTTTTCTTTTGAGACTCTTTAATCTTTTCTGGTTCACCACCCTTTTCCACAAGGAATGCGTTAATATCCAACATCGTTCCTACCGAGTTTTTGTATCTGTTCGAATGAAGAATATATCAATTTACGTCCGTTTAAGTGAACAGAAAAAAATTTAAACCCATGATTATATACAGGAATATGATATTTGATAGATTCTATACTCTATACAAACATAAGCAGTAGAACATATACATCCAATTTAAAATCATACAATTCTAAGACATGTCATGCAATCTTTGATATTTGATAGGGCTGTAAGGAAAATAAGCCCTTTAGAATTTGCAACTGCCGTTTGCGAGTCGTTTTACACTGGACTTCGACAAGCAGCAAGAACAGATGTCTTCCCAAGCAACTGCCATTCAAATGCTGCGGTTAATAGTTTATCGTTGGAAAAAAGTGACTTCCAATTCTTATTAAGCTCATGTGCGGACTCGTCAATCAAATTGTGGGATTTGAAGTCTCAAGATACTCAAGAGAATACGCAAAACACATCGCTTGCTAACCAAACTTATGACAATTATGACTACGATAATCCCGTTTCAACATTCACTAATGTAGCGACAATTCCAAGGAGAGCAGCGCATACATTTGGTGTTTCTTGTATTCAGTGGTGGCCATTTGATACGGGAATGTTTGTTTCAAGTTCATTCGACCATACTGTTAAAATTTGGGATACGAACGAATTGACACCAGTTCATGTATTTGACATGGATAACAGGGTATATTCATTTGATATATGTGGCCACTCGACCAATGATATGACTGCTAGTGCATTGGTGGCTGTAGCTAGCGACCAGCCCTTTTTGAGGTTGCTTGATTTGAGATCGACGTCGAGTGCCCATACTTTGCATGGGCACAAAGGAAAGACCTTGTGTGTCAAATGGCACCCACAGGATCCTAATTTGCTAGCTTCGGGTGGATTTGATGGTGAAGTAAAAATATGGGATATAAGAAGAAGCAAGAGTTGTTTGTGCAGACTTGACATGCTCAGAACCAGCACAGCTGAACTGTCTCTTACGTACACTAACTTAACACAGCCATCAGTGAAAGCCCACCTGGGTCCCGTAAATGGATTGGTGTGGGATGAAGCAGGTCATACCCTCTTCACGGCTGGAAATGACGATAAGGTTCGAGTATGGGATATGGTTTCTACATTGGCACCTCCTGTTAACAAACTTATAAATTTTGGCCCTTTGACTCGAAACAAATATCCACAGACCATACCTCTCATATTGGGTCCCAAGCATGAATCCGAACTACAGTACCTATTGTTTCCTTCTGATAATGGTGATATCTTTATCTTCAGAACTATAGATGGTAAATTAGTTTCGAGACTTACAAGAAAGGGTACAAAAAATTCAGGTAGGACATCGTCTATGGTGAATGCCGGTCCTTTTACTGCTACGTATTACTGTGGTACGATGGATGGTGAAATTATTAGTTGGTCACCCAAGTGGGATCAGCCAAATATAAACGATATTTTTGATGTAGATATTCAACATTTGGACGATAAAAGCATCTCTAAAGCCAAATTGTTAGATATAGAAAAGGCTAGACTGATGCTAACTAATGATCCTTATTTTAAGTAGTACAACTCCTATATATCTTTTTTTAACCATAGTAACCATTTTCACGTGAGTAGTTTCAGAGTATGTTTTTTTTTTAAATGAGCGCGTAATTTTATGTATTAACTTGATTGAATTGAGGAAGTGTTACTTCAAAGCATTGAAGAATAAAGGAATACAACTTGAAAATGGCGAAGTTGAAATTGAAAGTTGTTCTTGTTCCTATACAATTTTCCGATATCCCGTCGTCAAATTTAGAATCTAGCCAAAGTAGAAGGTTTTTACACTTGGCGGATGCAGACTCGGATTTGGGTAAGGTATGTGATGAGCTTACAAAAAGATATGCCAAAATTTACCCAGATGATGACAAGCTTGCTATATTGAGTCTTCAGGACGATGATAGATGTGATCTAGATCCAGATTTTCAAGCAGGTGATGTATTAGCTTCCGGAGATATTATTAGAGTAATTGTGGAAAATGAACTTCAAAATTTGAGCAATCACAGTTTCAACCAGCTGCAGAATATCACCGTTGAAAATACGCCAGCAGTAATGAGGTTGGTCGATTTGAATAAACAGACTCAAAGTACTCCTCTTTATCCCCCTGCTCCTGTACTCGCCCAGGATTCTACGTTTCAATCAAACAGTCGGAAACGAGCGAAGGAGTATTTTGATCTGACAGACACCAAAATCCCTACAAAGCATGCAAGGAGGACAGTTTGGTCCTCGAGAAATGAGTCGTTTATTGAGACTAATGTTCCAGCTATTCCTCTAACTCCACAATTGCATGTTTCGAAAAAGCGTCAAAATACATCATCACCCTCTAAGACACAGAATCTGGATATAGAAGATATTAATGAAACTAATATCTCATTGCCCCCACCAGAGATTGGAAATGATCGTTCAATTCCAAAGAAAAAAAGCTCCTCTACGAAACCAAAAGAAGAAGCCTTGCCAGGTAAGAAACGTATAACCTCTGGTATGCTAAGCATGCCTGCCCATGCACAATTGGAGAAAGAAGAAATTCAACACCAAAAATCAAAATTATTAAAACCTAACGAGGTAAACCTTTCATTATCTACGGAATTGGACTCTGAATTAGAGTCACAATCATATTCAGATTTGGGCTCTGATGGTATGGGCTCTGAACCTAAAGATAAAAGCGTCAAAGCGGGAGTAGATGATATATCCAAGGATGAAGAGGTAGAAGATAGACCACTAGCTTCATTATATAAAGAAAGTATAGAATCTCCTGATATTCGTGAAGAAACCCTTACAAAGACTGAAATCATGAATCTTTTCAAGAATGGTATGAAAATTCCTGCAAGATTGCAAAATAAATCACAAAATGAGTCAGCAAGATCAAGAAACTTGTCCGCTCTAATGAAAAACCTTGAAATTGATATGGTTGACAAGAATCCTGTTTTATCATTTGAAGAAAGGCGGGCCACAAGGGCAGCTGTAAATAGGAAGACGAGAACATCTTTAAAGAGGTCTTCCAAGAGTAAAGCTGTTGATACAAACGAAAAGGATTCTAGTTCGATAGATTCTATTTCTGGTATGAAAAAAGGCGCCCAATCTAATTCCTCTCATACTAAAAGTAATGAGTCGATAAGTTCTGATTCCAAAAGTTTTGAAAAGAAGGATTCTGAATCAAAGTCTTCTAATCCTGAAGATTCCAATTCTAAGAAATCTAATTCTACAAGCCCTAATTCCAAAAACTCAGACCCTAGACATGCGATCAAATATATATCCAATCCCTCAGAATTATTAAACTCCTTGAAGTCAATAGCGGGCCTTAAAAACGAAACGTCAACTAAGAACAAGAATGGAGCTTTTTCTCCCCATAATAATAAAAGCATTGGTATACTCAAGGATACTCAGACGAAAGAAGAAACGAAAAATATCAACATCAAAAAAGCTGAAGCGAATGACAGCAAACAAGTCAAGAAAACAATATCAGAATCTGGAAATGCCGATAAAGAAATACAGAAGAAGGCGAAAGAATCTGCCAACATTAGCGCTTATAATGGCAAAAAGGTCAAAGATGAAGTAAAGGTCAAGGAAATAAAGCCCCAAAGTTCACCTGAAGGGTTTCAACCTAGTTTCACTGACCTTACAGGAACATCAAAATTAGGAGCACTTTTTGAAAAAATGAAACAATTCGATGAAAAATTGAATGTTTTAAATAAAAAAGGAAGATACAATACGAAACAGATTTCTCAACGTGATATTGATAATATTGAACCTAACAGTCAGCCTAAAGACAGAATAGTAGAGCCTCAGATTAATACCACCAAGCCGATATATTCTCCTAAAGCTGACACAAGTATTAATATTACTAAAGTACATGTCACTCCATCAAAAAAACAACAAACTCAGGATAGTACTCAAGCAGCTAAATTACATACACCAGATGGTAGTAAAAATGCTCAATATAAGAAAAATAGTGGTATTTTGACAGAAACTAGACAAAATCAACAAATCGGCAATCTAGGCGTTGATGCTAATTTAAACTCGTACCCAATCAGCTATAACAATATAACTTCCAACTCACACATGACAAAAAATCTTAGCGACAATTCTCTTTCTAATGATTTAAAGATCCCGATGAGCAAAGCTATAAATAAGGATATTTCCAGCCTGCTGAAAAATTCAATTAATGAGAGTAACGTAGTGAGTAATACAACGAGTGCAACTAATGATAAAACTGCTTCGTCTGAGAATAATTCAATTAATAAGAGCAATGATATAAATATTACTACTAATGCAAATAATTCAATGAATAAGCTTGACAATAAACATGGTTCTATTACTGGGGATTATTCTACAAATAAGGCTAATGATGAAAGCATTCCTGCAACTGCAAATATTTCAACAAGCAAATCTAATGATAAAACTGTCCCTAATAATGTGCATATTTCATCTAATAAAATAAATGATAAATATACTCCTAATAATATGGATAGCATCATGGGCAAAACTACTGACAAGAGTGCTTCTAATAAAATCATTAATATAGAACAAAAGATTGATCATAATGCTATTAAGGCTAATACTACGAATGATAATAACTCTAATTCAACGGGTAATGGTAATATTCCTCCTAACGATGTCGCTCATAATAAGAATAATATAATCAATAAAGTTAATTACAGTAATGTGAAACTCGAAAATAAGAATAATGTTGGAAAAACAGATAAACTTCTCAGCAATAATTCTGGTAAAATGTCTAATTTGAATGTCACTAATAAATCATTGAAGAATAAAACTTTTACAGCCGGAGACAATAAGATGGTTAATAAAAATGTAACAATCGAGCATCTCAAAAGTCATACCCCTAAACAAGGTAAAACTACAGTCCCGAGTAATACTATTCGAAATGTCAATTATAATGAAAATGGTGAATATAAAGATGTAAACCCTAATACAGCTAATGGATCTAAGGGGACTAAAGGGTTAAGCTCTTCGCATTTGCAACATTCTATACCATATGATCATTACAACCAGAATCCAGTTCAAAACATTTTTACGGAACTGCATGGTCCAGCTAAACCTACAGATAATAAGACCAACTCTGAATCCAATATTAGAGCTCATCCACCTTTTTCAAACAGTGTTAATGATAGAAATATTATTATGTTTTCTGCTAAAAATGGCTATACTAATCCTAAACTTTTTTCCAATCCAAAAGTTCTTTCCAATCCGGAAAATTTTCAATCTTCAAATTTGCAGCGCCTTGAAGCTGCTATTCAAGAATCTAATAACTCCAAAGTTGAAAGGCCAAAAACAAATTCGAATAACTCTATTGGATCAGACCGAAATCCACCTTCAATTGCGAAGAATGGTAGTAATCTGTTAAGTAAGGTCGATAAAATTGCAGATTCAGAATTTAAGGATAATTCTAAGGGATTAGAACCTACCTCTAAATTGCCTAATACTACCGATACAAAACCTTTATCTCCAGTAAAGCTAAAATCTCCAAATACACCAACCAAACTGGCAAAGATCCATGGTATTACTCTTACCAATTCAAGTTTAGCACTGAATGTTGCAGGTATGGCTAAATTGGCAGAACAAAGAAATAAGCCAGATTATGCGAATGTGCCTCCAATTCTTAAATATCCAAATGAACACGAGAGAATTAAACTACGCGCTGAAAGTATCAAAAGTAGTCCGTTCATTCTGGATATACTGCCATTACATGGTGGTGAAGCTTTCGGTAAAAAAGATTCTAAGAAAGGGGCCGAGAATTTGACTAACCAAAGGAAATTGGACCTGAACAAAAGAAAGCACAATGAGTCATATCCTAATATATCATCGTCTTCTTCTGATGAAAGTTCTAGCTCAGATTCTGATAATAATGACTCAGACGTTGAAAATAAGAGACCACGTCTTGCAGCTGCTGTTCCATCATCTACGATGTCGCGTTCGACTGCATTACACCAAAGTCGACCAATATTTTCTCCAGCCTCTAAAGAGAAGGAAAGTCATCAAATACATAAAGATGATTTTTCGGTTACAAACAATACACATGAATCACCTCAAAAGACTGCAGAAATCCCAAATAACTTTCAGGATAAAGCTAATATTAAGAAACCTATATTAACTTCCTTAAGCGACTTAGCGATGCGTGGGGTTCCTGATGTTGAATCTACGTCTACAATAGACCCTGAGACAAAGGGGAAGAAAAGCAATGACGAAACCACAGATGATGAAAGTACAGATGAAGTAGAATCGTCTTCTTCATCTGCTACAGATAGTGATGATTCAGATAGTGACCAAGACACTTCAGGAAAGTTTATAAACATTAAGAAATTAAATAAAGGTAAGCCTAAGAGGAATAAAGGAGGATTTTCTGCTCTTATGAAGGATGCCAGAAGATTCTGATTATATTTATCTGTATATTTTTAATATATATTAATATTCTATAATGATTGCACATTGCTCATTTATACAAACTTCTACCAATTACATCAGCACTCCATGCATTGTAATCGTAGATTTTAAAAGCTCCGGTTGACTTATTTACGTCTGATATCAGAAGTAGAATATTTTCATAGATTTCTGAAATCCATGTTTGAGCAACCTCAGGTTGCTCTAAAAATAAGGCACCAACATATTGTTCAAAATAATCAGCTATAAATTCCTGTTCATAGCGTCTAGCATCCTTATTATCAAATTCTGAGTTAGAGTTCTTCCATTGGTTCAAATGTGGTACATAAGACTTTCTCAATAACCTGAAGACTATTACATCATCTAACCCTTGGTGAAGGTTGTAGGCCAATGCTAATTCTGATAGTAGTGTGTTTGTGGCTAGTATAGTCCTTAATAAATTATAAGATTTCCTTCCAAATTGATGAAGAGGGTTATCATTTGGGTATCTACGATACTTGTATAACAAATTTGATGATTCACGAGCTAGATAGAAGTCACCTAAACCATCTAAAAAGGATAGGTCATACTTCATTATATTATAAGCCTTCTGATCTAGTATGATGTTCCGAAACTTTAATTCTTTAGAGAACGGATGCTTTGGATCTAGTAAGCCTCTGTATAATTCTTTATGCATAAGCGATTTAGCTAGTAACTCTTTATTATGTATTTCCGGTAATGGTGGCAATGATATTCTGTAATCTTTTGTTTCAAACATAGTAATATATTTTGGTTCATTACCATATAATTTAGCACGATTTATAGGTACTTTCTCGTAATATTCTTTTGCTAATTCTAATATTTTTGAATTACTAGCATCATCTTGTCTATTATAATCTTCAAGGATTCTATTATTGTTCGAATTAATATAAATGTTAACAATCTTATCTGTGATATCTTCGATATTGTTTTCTGATTGGAATACAATCATATATCCAACAGCTATGAAAAACCACCTGAAATCAGAAATGCTGTGTCTATTAGAGATTTCTGGACTTTCAGATCCACCTTCTTTAGGAGGATTATTAGAATTTGACCCAAAATAGACCAAATCTCTTAGTTGTTGAGCTGTATTGCTATTCATGTCGTTGGGTTTTAATTCTCTCTTGATAAACGAAGATAAATCAAAGACAACAGTTTTGATTATCCCCCCACCCCCAACAGTCAATAAATGGCTAAACTTCTGATATAGTTGCAATTTTACAATGTCAAGTCCTAATATATAAAGGTGATGCCTGATCCATGAAGTTCCTAGTAAGCTATCTAGTTGGCTGGGGATAAGGAAATTGCCGTTAGTTCTCATAGTCCGCATAGTCCTTATAGTCTTCATATCAAAATGATAACCTAATCTAGCTGACACAAACCCCAAATGTTTTAAAACATGATGACGATGATTCCTTTCAAGTAGCATTATTCTATACTCGATCAGATTGCTGATCAAGAATCCTTTAAAGTTAATTGAAAGCTTCTAATGATAAACAATTTTGTGTGATTATTCTTATCGCGATTTCTCCATACTTTAGGGTGCAAAATTATTTTTACAAATAATTCATAAAATCACATACAGAGAACATGACAACATAGTATGTTAAGTATTTTACTTTTGCGCTGTCAAAGGATGCATACTTTGTCTTATCAAAAATTGGTTTATAAGATTATAAAAGGAACGTCAAAATATTAAAAACAATATCAATTTTCTCTTGAAACAATTA